GGGACAAGGGACTTCTTGTCCCTCGTTACAAAGCTAGGAGTGAAAGACTGTAAAATTCTTCCGATAGTAACCGGAACGAGAGGCGCTGTGCCCTCAGATACAACATCCTGTCTTCGAGAGTTACATATAGAAAACAGAGGATCGTTGAGAACAATCTCATTACTGTCTCTCAGGAGCTCAATTGAAATGTACCATAAATTTATGGACTACAATGCAGCATTGCATTGATAAAACTCTTGGCAATTAGCCTGCTAGCGCAAACTGTTTTATATTTGACGACAGTCAATCGAACTGGAAACCACTCAATATTTATTTATTTGGGCACCCTATATATGCCTAATTTTTATTGAATTGTGACCCTATTGCCATAAGACGCTAGCGGTGCAAGTCGCCGTGCCATGGCGGCCGGCGACGACAGAGCTGTGTACTGCTGCCTCGGACACAGGCGGACGCCTCCACGCGGCTCCCCGTGGTAACGGCATACATGTCAACTAAGTTCCGCTTCTCCAAATGAGGAGACCCTGTGCAATTTTTCCACCCGTAAGCAGGAATCCCTTGGCTGGTCAGTCAGACGGGTTTCCCTCCTGCAGGAGGCACTTGCCAAGAGTGCTAGTAAGTCAGTACGCCATAATAAGTGACAGAACGAAAGTTACACCGGATGAATCTCTGTTAATGTTTGGGTATCCTGTTGTACAAATGAGTGGCTCAATAATCAACCTGCAGAGTCAGTCTACCAGGACCCGTTGTGAGGGACCGCACCCACACTAAGCGGTAAGACGTGCCGGCCGGCGTGAATACTTAGCCAAATGCCTCTTCATCTAATTAATGACGCGGATGAATGGATTAACGAGATTCTGTTCTGTCCCTATTTACTTTCTAGCGAAACCACTGCCAAGGGAACGGCCTTGGAAAAATTAACGGGGAAAGAAGACCCTATTGAGAATGACTCTGGTCTGGCACTGTAAGGAGACATGAGAGGTGTAGCATAAGTAGGAGATGGCAACATCGCCGGTGAAATACTACTACTTTCATCGTTTCTTTACTTACTCGGTTGGGCGGAGCGCGTGCCCCGAGGGCTTACGCCCCGGCGGTCACGTGTTCTAGAGTCAAGCGTGTAAGAGTGGCGTGAGACCTCGGCCGATCGCCGTTAATACTCCCGCGTGATCCGATTCGAGGACACTGCCAGGCGGTTCGGCTGAATCGCCACTTTGATGGACGATGTAACGAACATTGCGAGATGGACGAAGAAAAGCGCGCGCTTATCGCGCGTGCCCTCGCCGATCGCAGACGAATGTATAAGAGATTACCCTGAACGGTGGATCACTTGGCTCGTGGGTCGATGAAGAACGCAGCTAATTGCGCGTCAACGTGTGAACTGCAGGACACATGAATATCGACATTTCGAACGTACATTGCTGTCAACGGATACAATTCCCGGACCACGCCTGGCTGAGGATCGTTTACGTACCCAAAGACTGCTTGCGCCGGAGCTGCGCTTCCGCAGCTCTCTCTCTCTCTCTCTCTCTCTCTCTCTCTCTCTCTCTCGGCTCGGCCTCGCTCACCCCCGCCGTCATCGCAGGAGCAGCATCGAAGCAGGGATCCGTGCGCGCTGCGCCACGGAGTCCCTCTCTGTCCTCGACGTGCGCGCGCAGGGTTTTCAGCAGGCAGAAGACACGAGTGAAGAGATGTTCTCGCAGCGTCCTCTTGTTGAGTCGCGGATAGCCAAACGACGGCGTACGAGCTGGACGTTCGCGGAGGAGCGCGAGACCTCCCTCTCGACCCGAGAAAAGCTGGTCGTGTACGCCCTCGGCGGGACCAGGAATCTCGAGGAAGAATGGCCGGTCGGTCTCCCCTACGCGTCGTCTGAAAGAAACGAAAGGCGATTTCCTCCTCATCGTCGAGCGACATCGAACGCACACACGCGATAGCGAGTGTCTGTTTCCCGCGACCTTCGCACAAGGGGAAAGTTACGGAGAGCTCTCTCTCATTGGGCGCGGCTGGAAGCACGTCGTCGTTGTCAAGGTGGAACGAGCACAACGAGGGAGGAAGGTAGGTGCTCTGCCGCGTCGAGCGCGTGCAGAGTCACCTCCACCCGCCGACCTCTGCGAGCTGGGACAACGAACGGCGTGCATACCGGTCGACGACGCATGAGTGACAAAGAGAGCTTGTCTCCCTTTCTCGTCCGACTCGCGCGGTGTATGGCACTGCCGCGTGCAAGTCCGCATGACGCACAGAGACTCAGGGTGCGTTCCGTTTCTTGCATGATGCGCATAGGAGCATGAAAGTCCGTTTCGTTTCTCTTCATGCGCACTCTATGCGTGCATGATTTAACTTGCCGCCAATGCATTGACCCGCCTCTTCCGGTGCATGAAACTGCATGGAGTGCCTTACCTCACGAGCTGAGGCAGTTTACGCAGTCTATGCATGGAGTATATTTTTGCGCAGAATTGAAACGTGAAACAAGGTTAGGTTTCTCAAGATATTTCTTTATCTTCTATATAAACTTCCTAAATAGCATAAACTTATGAAAGATGTTTTAAAAGTATTTAAAAATTGTTTAAAAACGTCTGTACAAGTAAAACGTCTTTTAGTTATTATGATGTTTTTAAGACGTTTTTTAGAAATTTATGTTGAGTTGTAAAGGGAATTCAATTTTTTTAAACATAATTATTAGTTTTATTAATGTGAGCAACTTGCCACGATATTTTAGCTGGGCAGAACTATTATTAAGAAGAAAAGAATAGTTGGTAAAGAGTCGGTAAATCGTGAAATTATATAATTCACAAAAATGCCGGATACAAAGATAACTGTCCCAATTCTTGTCGGCGAAAAAGAAGAGCTATATAATATTAGATTATTACCAGAACAGTATGAACAAGTACTTAAAGGAGGTAAGTATGTTATTAGAAATTCTCCTAATCTATCAAAAAATACTGCGAATATTATAGACTAGATATTTTTTTCACTATTCGTTTCTTCAATAGATTTAATAATCGTTTGTTTGTTGATTTGTAGATCAAGAATTACTCCAAAAGTTAATTAGAGAAGAATCAGAGAGAAGGAGTTTCACTATCGTTCAGGAACTTACAAATTCCAACGATTTAAATCAAAATTTGGAGGACTCAGAAGTTGTAGAATCATTTGAAAGTGATGCACAGGAAGGTGCTAAAGAAGATTACAAGGAAGATAGTGATGGAAAAGAAATATTTACTTGGCCAGAGAAGGCTATTATGCTCTTTTTAGAATTGTACCAAGAAAGAGAGCATGAATTTACTGGTGGACTGAAACGTCATAATAAACTATGGTCTGAGATTGCTTCTGAATTACGAAAATCAAATTACAAAGTGTCTGGTGTACAAGTTCAAAATAAAATGTCAAGCTTGAAGAGGACATATAAGAAAATTAAAGATTCCAATGCCAAGAGTGGCAATCATAATAGTTGTTGGGCATACTATTCGGTTATGGATTCTTTATTTGGTGAGAAAAGCTGGGTTTCTCCTCCAGCTGTAGTAAGTACCTAGCTTAAACCTAGTAGTAAGTTTACCAGTCAATTTACCCTTTCCACTTAGGCCTTTTTTTGATTTTTTAACGTTACGCAATCGAGTTCCCATGCGTTTTTGCACGTAACCGATGCATTCTTTTTTCTGCATAACAGTATTTTCATAAGGCTGAGCATCTATAAGTCCTTTAAAAGTTTTACTGTCACCGTCGCCGATGTAAGAAATGTATTTCATATTATACAAACTAAGGGAACGTTTAAACATCTCGATTACTGAATCTATTTCCATTTTTCCTGCAGAGCCTTCATGGTTTGACTGGCAAACTGTCTTATGCGTTTCAAGCCATTCCGCATACTCTTCGGTATCTTTTTTCTATTCCCAAGTTTCACAAATTTTGCAGTACTTAGATTTGACGATGATGTCGACAACTTTTCCGGTATGCCAGCCAATTAAAGAAACTAAGCCGAAAAGCGACGTGAATCCTCGTTTCCTCCAAGATCCATCGCCAGATACAGTCAGTTCATTATCATCTCGTCCTTCTGCAGAAGTCATTTCCTTCTCTTCTTTTACTGCTCTCTCCATACTAATCTGACACACCGAGCGAGCGGCGACCGAAATTATATCCATAGCAGCTGTATAAACGGTTTGAAATATCAGCCGAGGCAGATCCATGAAGGCACAGAACTTGATCAATCCATTCATACCGATTCCTAATAAACGCATTGCTAGTACTATTCGTCTATTCAGTTCGTACGCATTTCTAATAACTGGACTGTTCGGAACACTACTAATATTGTCACACATTTCGCATGTAACATTTATTTTTAAGCCCAAGCCGCGCATTGAAGTATGACTAAAAGTCACTCTAGAATGGCACTTATGGCACACTATAACATTCGAGATAGCAGTAAAAACGGCAACAAAATTAACAAAGCAGTAGCCAAATGATTGATTAACATTAATGTCACTTTCACTTGCAGTCTTCAATTTCTTGGCAGACGTGCTCACTCCTTCAACGTCTCTCTCCGCTTCATAACGATTTTTCAGTCGATGTTTTCCCATACCTCTTCGATGAGAATGCCAACTAGACTCTCTGGTACCTTTTCTTCCAGAATACACAACATTTTTGTCACTCATGGTTGAAATTTCGGCAAATATTCACTTAGAAGAGAGGAATTTCTAACCGTAACGTCTTTTCAACTCTACAGGTAGTGTCCTTCTAACGGTCGTACTGTTGCTAGGTTAACATATACGTAGTCAAAAATACTTCTAATGCCATTTATGTATATACTAGCAAAGCTTAAAAATGAATAGTCTGAGACAGATATATATCTAAGACCAGTAAACGCTTTGAAGCGTCGAGCACACGCTGAGCGCGCAACGGGCGGGTTTTAGGTTTGATCGCTATATGTCGGTAAAAAAAAATTTTTCGGTCAAAAGCCTTGGGGATATTATTTTTGAAGGTCAAAACTATCGTTTAAGCAAAAAAAATCGATTTTTTCAAAATTCTACACTGATGTTACCCCTTAAAAGTAAACAGTCTAATAAAATACGAAACCGAACTTTTAACAAGCCGAAAGCTCGTTCTATGGGCATTCTAGTCGAGGATAAACAAAAATTGTAATTTTTTTGAAGTGCTGTTAGGTGCCCATTATCTTTAAATGGAACTATTACATGCGGGTGAATTGCATATGCAGAATCTGCTATAATATGCGAGTCTAAAAGAAAATACTCATTTGGCGTCTCAATATAATGTGCAAGTGCGGAATTTCTAAAGACTCTTGCATCATGCATTGAGCCAACATGTCCTGCATAACAATGCGTAAATACAGATTTTGCATCACATACAGCCTGCAAGTAAATAGCATGGAATTGTTTCCTACATATATATGAAGTAGCATCCTTCACTGGAGCTCGAATTTTAATATATGATCCATCCAGAGCTCCAATTACTTTTGGAAAACCTCTTAATTTAGAAAATTCTTCTATGGTACGATTTACTGCTTCGCCTTTTGGCCATCGAATAAATATTGGTGCTAGGCAATGTAAAGCGTATGTTATTCGCCTTACTGCTCTGAACACCGTTGTTTTTCCAACTCCAAATTGAACATGTATGGATCTGTAAAAACAAATACGTTATATATTTCTACAAGCAAATAGCACAAAAAATCAGTTATTACAAAGAATGAAAGCAAATACCTATAGCTGTCTGGAGTAGCCAAAAACAATAATAATATTAACAATTGCTTTCCTGGATGTAGTTGCTTTCTTCCTGTTGCATTAGTTTTACATAAAGCTGGCCCAATCAGATGTAAAATCATTTCATATGTTTCAGGAAACATCCTGCAACAAAAAAGAGTTAACTTTTACAACAGTGGTTGCTTACCAGCAAATCATATAGGTTATACAAAGTATATGTGCTTTCTTACGACACAACATGACAAGTGTACTTAGTTCTTCAACTAAGTATACTTATATCATATTGTGTCATTGTAGGAAATCACTATTGCTTTGTGTCACCTATGTCATTTGCTGAAAAACAACGTATAATACTATCACACAAATATATAATTTGCAATTTACCTGAAGTGTTCCTTAAATTGTAGACGTGAATATCCTGGTACGACTCGTTCAACATAATCTCTTAATATTTCACAAAGAATATTCTCTCCTCTTGTGTTTCCTACCATAAGAATGGCATATAGAGTTGACTCCTCACTTTCTTCATCACTTGAAAAGTCACTTTCAAATGATTCACTACCACTATCGCTACTGCTTAAAAAGGAATCTTCTTTCATCACATAAAGTGATGTGACAGCAATTATTGCATCTAGTTCTATTTTTGTTAATTTAGTCGCCATCTTATTCTTGTTTTATTACGGGATGGTCCCTGCGGATTAAAACACCCTAACTCGCTTTATAAAAGTTTAAATAAAATTATACGGATGATTATCCAAATAAAAGTGTACAAATTAAATTTCAACCATCAAATACCTTGACAAACTTTAAACGTTGCTTATTTGAGCCGCCATATTACATATGAACAGCATAGAAACTGTTACATTATTCAAAACGCATGGTCAGTGCATGAAGAGTATCAGAGAAATGGAACGGGCCATGCACTATACGTCCTATGCTAGGCATCCATGCGTCTCATACGAGAAACGAAACGCACCCATAATATTTCGCGCAGATGTCTGCTGGTTTGGATCGCGAACCGATCGCCTGTCCGAGTCCACGAGGCTTCGTCATTCAAACGTATACATACGGACCGCCACGTTGCGTCGTGACTTGTCTCTGGGGAGTCGCGCTCTCGCGCGACGCCCGCGGATGATCCGCCGCGCATTACGCACGATGCTGCGTTAAGCGCGAGATAGGGGAGGAGAGAAGACCACAGAGTCTCTGTCTCTCTCGCACCGTCGTTTCCTACAAGCACAAACGTTCACGACGACCTCAGAGCAGGCGAGATTACCCGCTGAATTTAAGCATATTATTAAGCGGAGGAAAAGAAACTAACCAGGATTTCCTTAGTAGCGGCGAGCGAACACGAAGGAGCCCAGCACTGAATCCCGCGGTTCCGCCGCAGGGAAATGTGGTGTTCGGGAGGGTCCGACTATCCCGAGGTGTCGCATCGCGTCCAAGTCCATCTTGAATGGGGTCACTTACCCGCAGAGGGTGCCAGGCCCGTAGTGACCGGTATGCGCCTCGGGAGGATTTCTCGTTAGAGCCGGGTTGCTTGAGAGTGCTGCTCTAAGTGGGTGGTAAACTCCATCTAAGGCTAAATACGACCATGAGACCGATAGCGAACAAGCACCGTGAGGGAAAGTTGGAAAGAACTTTGAAGAGAAAGTTCAAGAGTACGTGAAACCGTTCAGGGGTAAACCTAAGTGTTCGGAACAAGACCGAACATATGATAGCTCCGGAGAGCTGGCTGGAAATATGGGATCGCAGAGCGACGTCCGCCTGCGTCCAGGCTCGCTCGAGTCCGCTCGACGACCGACCGGTCATCCTGATCAAAGGCCTGGGCCTCGTAAGGCGACCCTGCTGATCACGCAACGTCGCGCGCCGACGCACCGCGCTCAGGGACGGCGGCCAAGCGATCGCGAGAGAGAGAGAAAGAGAGGACACGCACGCAATGATAGATAGACGCCGAAGTAAAACGCAACGAACGCAGTAGTCGCAATAGAGTGTCGCGGAAGTAATGTAGTAAACGCAAGTGGAACAACGCAGGAGAACGACGCAACTATGTACAAGCGAAACAACGTCGCTTACGCAAGTCCCGTAGGACATACGTCCGTGACGTCAACGGTGCGCTGCACCCGAAGTATGCCAAGGACGTGCACCGAAACGACCTCCGTCATTTCGGATGGCCTGCCCTTCCGGACGTAACGGCCAATAGCTAGCCACGGTCCCGAGGACGCGTGGAAATGGAGCTCCGAGAGCTCCGGCTCGCAGGACGACCAAGTCGCTCCTGCGAGAAGGCCAAGTTCCCAACGGACACTTGGACGAAGGAGCGCGAACGCTGTAGGACTGCGACCGAGCCGCTCCAAAACCGCCAAGGCCCCCTACGGACACTTGGGCAACAAGGGAGCTCGAAGCTTCGAGGAGACGGTCGAGTCGCTCCTAAGATCACGGCAACGCCGTGAGTCCGAGATCACAACGAGATTCGAACCATTAGCCTCAACCCAGCAGGGTGTATCGGCGCCACCTTCAACTCAGCAGAGTATATAGAGCAGTGGTTCGAATCTGAAACAAAAGACCGATCGCCCTAGGAAGACTAGAAAGCGCGTCGGTAATCACCAGTACACGATGCACTAACGCGTAGCACTACTTGCTACCCAAAACTGGCCAGGCAGAAGACAAGGCAAGGCAAAGGCCAGCCACGGCGCGCCTGGTTATATATCTGGGCGGTCGAATCTTGCCCGCGGGCAGCGGAATTGCGAGCCGCGCCGTGTAGCGGCCGCGGTTGGACCTAGTGGGGGTCCCGCGCGCTCGCTCGCGAGAACCCGCGTCCCCCGCTGCTAGCGAGAACGCCCCGGGAACCAGGCCGCCCGCCCTGCAGCGTCGACTCGCTGCAGGGCCAGCGACCGACCTTCCGTATGGCATCACGTGCCGTACGGAACACTAAGAAACCCAAAAGATCGAACGGGGAGATTCATTGTTAGCGCCGCTGACTTCGCGTCGGTCGGCGATGTCCCGCGGTTTCTCGCGCGGGCACGCTACCGTACGCGCATGTCTGACGTCATCGTCGTGCACTTCTCCTCTAGTAGAACGTCGCGACTCGCTGGGTATCGGTCTACGGCCCGGATGCGGTGACTGCCGCGTCGCCGGTAAAACGGCACGCAGCAAATCACCGGAAGCCCGGCCGGCTGTCCGTCGGTACTCGCACGGTGTCAGGCCGCAGTTTATCTCTGCGTCAAGCCCGTCGCAAGCGCGCGCCACGATCACTCGGAGGCATGGAACTAAGCGCCGTCCCCGGTCCTGGCCTGCTGTTGGCCGATGGTGATCCTTCGACAGGCCTTACGGGGCGACACGTAGATGGTTCGCCATCCCGCGCTCACCCCAATACCGATTGGCGACGCTACTGCTTTGGGTACTCTTAGAACCCGTCTTGAAGGTCGGCCTTAGCGCCGACCGAGGGAGGATGGGCCACGTCGCGATGCGGCCTCGCACTCCCGGGGCGTCTCGTTCTCATCGCGAGAAGAGGCGCACCAAGAGCATACATGTTGGGACCTGAAAGATGGTGAACTATGCCTGGTCAGGACGAAGTTAGGGGAAACCCTGATGGAAGTCCGTAGCGATTCTGACGTGCAAATCGATCGTCGGAACTGGGTATAGGGGCGAAAGACTAATCGAACCGTCTAGTAGCTGGTTCCCTCCGAAGTTTCCCTCAGGATAGCTGGCACTCGGCCGTTCCACGAAACGAGCGCGAGTCTCATCAGGTAAAGCGAATGATTAGAGGCCTTGGGGCCGAAACGACCTCAATCTTTTCTCAAACTTTAAATGGGTGAGATCTCTGGCTTTCTTGAACCTTGGAACCGTGAGAATTACGGATCAGAATGCCAAGTGGGCCATTTTTGGTAAGCAGAACTGGTGCTGTGTGATGAACCAAACGCAGAGTTAAGGCGCCTAACTCGACACTCATGGGACACCATGAAAGGCGTTCGTTGCTAAAGACAGCAGGACGGTGGCCATGGAAGTCGGAATCCGCTAAGCAGTATGTAACAACTTACCTGCCAAAGCAACTAGCCCTGAAAATGGATGGCGCTGAAGCGTCGAGCCTATACTCTGCCGTCAGCGGCAAGTGGGGCGGGGGCTCTAAACAGCCCCCGTCACGAAGCCCTGGCGAGTAGGAGGGTCGCGGCGGTGTGCACAAAAGGGTCTGAGCGCGAGCCTGCCTGGAGCCGCCGCTGGTGCAGATCTTGGTGGTAGTAACAAATACTCCAGCGAGGTCCTGGAGGACTGACGTGGAGACGGGTTTCGTGTAAATAGCCGTTGCACATGAGTCAGTCGATCCTAAGCCCTAGGGGAAACCTTATGTCAATGACGGCGTAATGCTCAGTACTCTCTCGAACGTTTCATACTGAACATGGTACACGTCCGTCGGGCGAAAGGGAATCCGGTTCCTATTCCGGAACCCTGCAGCGGAACCGCATACCATTCGGGCCCTCGTAAGAGTGTTCGTCGGGTAAACCCAAAATGACCTGGAGACGCTGTCGAGAGATCCGTGAAGAGTTATCTTTCCTGTATAAGCGTTCGAGTTCCCTGGAAACCTCTAGCAGGGAGATAGGGTTTGGAACGCGAAGAGCACCGCAGTTGCGGCGGTGTCCAGATCTTCCCCTCGGACTTTGAAAATCCAGGAGAGGGCCATGTGGATGTGTCGCGCCAGTTCGTACCTATATCCGCAGCAGGTCTTCAAGGTGAAGAGCCTCTAGTCGATAGACTAATGTAGGTAAGGGAAGTCGGCAAATTAGATCCGTAACTTCGGAATAAGGTTTGGCTCTGAGGAGCGGGGCGTGTCGGGCTTGGTCGGGAAGCAGGTCTAGCTGACGTGCTGGGCCTGGGCGAGATGCACGTCCAGGGATCTGAGCTCGGTCCCGTGCCTTGGCCTCCCGCGGATCTTCCTTGCTACGAGGCTTCCGTGGCGGCGTGAGCCGTCGTGGTCATCCTCTTCGGCCGCCATTCAACGCTCAGCTCAGGACTGGCACAGACTAGGGGAGTCCGACTGTATAATTAAAACAAAGCATTGCGATGGCCCTCGTGGATGTTGACGCAATGTGATTTCTGCCCAGTGCTCTGAATGTCAACGTGAAGAAATTTAAGCAAGCGCGGGTAAACGGCGGGAGTAACTATGATTCTCTTAAGGCCGCTTCTGCGGCCACGTGTCAACCCCACCTCCTCCGTGGTGAGAGTCGATAACGTCGTAGAGGGATATCCCCTGCGGCGGCTAACGGGGCTCTGGTTTGGTGGGGCGCTTGCGCGCCGCCCGGGGTCGTCGGGTTGCCAGCCCGGCGGCCTTATACTGGTGGGCCCGATAACGACTAGTAGCATGTCGAAAGACAGTAGCCGGCAGCAGCCTCGGACTGCCGGCCCCACCACAACTGCCTGTACTGCTGACCCCGTGCCGGGGACCAGCCGCTCTTTTTCTCTCCCGTATGGTCGTCCTGTCGTTGTCGTTCCATCCGTCCTGTCACCTCCAGCGCCGCGCTTTGAGTGCCCTGAGTGCTGCCGTCACTTCGTCACTAAGATTGGCCTTGGCATTCATAGGTGGAGAACGCACTTCGCCGAGGCCAATGAGGAAGTAAACGTCGAGTGAGTAAAAGCGCAGTGGAACGATGAAGAGTTGCGCCTGATGGCTTGG